AAAAAAAAAAAAAAAGAAAGAAAAGAAACTGGTGTAATGAGGAAATTACTAACATTCACCACTAGATGGCACAGTCTGCACTGCCAACAGCACACCACCAGCCTTGGATTGGCCTGTTGCAGCTGCTAAGCCTGGAAACGTATTGCTGCCTATGCTGCCTCTTCAAGAAAGTAAAAAAAAAAATTTTTTAATTGTTGTTTGCTGAACTACCTGCTACTTCAGCTAGGTGATCAAACTAGTACTGACGAGTTATGTTGATAGTATGTAATTTTAGTGTGATATAATGAAAGTGGCGCTCTATCCTTATGACCTTCATCCCCCAAACCTATAATGCCAGCGTAAATGTGAGAAAAATATCAGGCAAATTCCAAAAGAGGTCCTGCAAAATAACTGACCAGAACTCAAAACTGTCAAGATTATCAAAAACAAGGAGGAAAACCTAAAAGGATATAACAACCTCGTGCAATGCGGCATCCTGGATGAGATCTTGGTGCAGAAAAAAAATACAAAAGATAAAAAATAAAACAGGCAAACATTTAAACTAAAGAAATATGAATGAAATATTATGGATTTTATGTAATAAGGTTATCAAAGTTACTACTTGAACAAATACAGCAAAATAATGTAAGATGACAATAATAGGGATAACTAGTTGTGGGGTTTGTGAGAAAGCTGTACTATTTTAACAACTTTTCTACTTATACAAATTCTCTTAAAAATCTAGTTTTAATAAAGAAAATTGCTGTTTTTTCTTCATGTAATAGCTCTTACTTAATTTAAAGTCTATTTTTTTTTTTTTTTTTTTTTTTTTTGGGTACTGGGGATTGAACTTGGGACCTTGCGCTTGCGAGGCAGGCACTGGAACCACGGAGCTAAATCCTCGACCCAAGTCTGTTCTGAATGTATCTAATTTAATTCAGTCCAAGTAATATGTTGTGCTGTCACTGGAACAGAGACCAAATATGGTGGGCCCTTGACTTAAGAACTCAATTCATTCCCAAGGGCTGGTTGTAACTCAAGTTGGTCAATTGAAGGCTTAGGTTCCTCTACATGGCCTTCGAAGTCTCTCTCCTACAGGCAGATCACAGTGTCCTTAGAGAGACACTGACCCAGGATTTCTCAACCCCACACAGGAAAGGATGTTGTAATGTTCCTTCCAGAACTCTTTAAGGGTTAAATCTGTATCTGAGACCATCTGGAAGAACAAGTAGCCAGCATTTGGGTGGCAATTCAAGACTTTCTTGGTAAGTTAAAACTAAAATTCTGTTTGTAACCCAAGTTGTTCATATGTCAGTCCTAACTCGAGGGTCCACTGTAAGTGAATTTTGAATATATTTAGCTTATTTAGGGGGGTCTCCCATCCCCTCCTAATCTCACATAAAAAAAATTGATCAGAAGCAAAAAATTGGCAAACCTCCATGCCACATGACCTATGACACCAAATCACCCTTACTAATAATATCATGACTATCTGCAAATTCCAGATTGACCCAGTGTAACTCACAACTATGTAACACAATACTCTGAGGATGTATAGCACACAAAACATGAAGTTTTGTAGCTTAACACAGAGAATGCTTCTGTTGAATTCTAAGGCAGTGAGTCCTTTTCTGGTCGTATTTATTAGTACACTGCCAATGCCTCCAATGCCTAGCATAGTATCTGCTGTGTAGTAGGCTTTCAATAAAAATTTGCTGAATGCATAAATAAGTCATTGAAGAAAAACTGTTGGCTTAATGTCAGGTTTTCTCTGTATCTTATCTAAGACTGGTTCTAATCCAGAAGAAATGGATTTCATGATAATAAAAGGGAATAGAGTTTTTACCAAACAATTTTCTTCATTTTAAAGAAACAGTCCCACATGGCTTCTGGGTCCTTTACTTTATTATAATGGCCATATATTGAGAGAAACCTTATAAAATTATACTATTAAAAATAACTAGACTGTCAATGAGGTCACTGTGACCTCAAAGTAACCCTTACTCACTTAGCAGTGTCAAGCCTTCAGTGGACTTTTGAGGACATCTGGTCAGAAACTTTATACTTACAAGAGATATGAAAGGAAGGCTAATCAGTCTCTCTTTTCTTTGTGCCTTGTCCTTTTTCTTGTCTCTTAATTGGCTGTATAGGAGGCTTGAGCCTATTAACTGGCAACAATTCAAGTTAAAAGTCCTTGTCTAAATAGTTAAATATTACTTTTACAAAGATCAACCCCCTACGAATGAATTGTATTACCCATCATACCTCTGATTTCAGAAAATATCGTTTAACAAATCTGGGTATCTTAATAACCGTCATCTAAATTTGAAGCATAGAGCAACTAGCAATAGAGCAACTAGCAATGGAGCAAGTATGAAGAAATCTGAACTTGAACTTTGGTTTTACATCTCTTTGTTTCAACAAACTTGGGAATGATAGTCTTTACCTTAAGTGTTATGATGATGATTAAAAGAGATGACATTTATGGCATAATTTATACAGTAAAGAATACCAAGTAGGTTGGAAAAAAGCCCTACTTCCCATCTTCCTTTTATCTTAGCCAACTCTTGGCCTAGATTTAAAGCTTCTGGTGGGAAGCTCTCCCTGACTTACTAGTTTGCATTCTCTTGCTCTACTCTTACAGCACTGTGGATATATGTCTACTCAAGCACTAATTATATTATCATGTAATTACTATAGTGGGCATTCCTTCTTTTATGACACACACTTTCCTTTCCTTTTAGTCGCCACATCTACTACATTTCCTCCTACATTTTAGGCGGATCCTCCTCTCTTTCCTTTGCAGACACATTTATGAAAATTTCCTGTCTCAAGCAATGTTATTGATGCTCCTCAGGCCAAATCCCAGTCTTCTTCCAGGCCACTCTTAGCATTACCATCTACCCAGAATTGACAGAAATTTTATGTCTTGTTCAAGACATCTCCAGGCTCCAGAAGATTAAATCCAAATGCCTAACAGACAGCGTTTCTTGGATGCCACAATGCCTCATATCCAGCAAGCCAAAACTGAACTCAGATCTGCGAGATATTTTACCTCGATGCAAAACTGAATGAACCAGTGAATCGATAAATCAGTGAAGACACAATATACAAGATATCTCATCGAAATTATGTCAATTTTTTGAGTTCCAGCTCAATGGGAGCGGGAGTAGAAGGTAAGGAAGGTTTGGGTCAGTTTTCCCAGAAAGGGAAAAGAATTCGCTGGAAGTTTGGCGCCTTTTTCCAATTCACCAGAAGAATGGCGTGCGTGAATCCTTTTAACGGAGAAAGGGGCGGGGTCTGGGGAGGAGGCGGGCTCTGGGAAAGGGGCGGTCGGATTAGCCCCAGTAGACCCTAGCCGCAGGGGGTTCTGGGCCCTTCCACTACAGGAGCGCGTGCGCGGAAGTGCGCCTTGGCAATTTCTGAACGGTGGGCTGTTTAAAGGCTCGAGAAGGTCAAGGTTTCTTGATTCTGTGGTGTTTGTCAAAGGCAGCTTCTTGTACCACCCAGAACGGCGACTTCCGCGGCTCCTTTCCGCTCTGGCACCGGGCTGAATAGGGTCCTGGATAGTATCTGTGCTCTCAAGTATCACCTGGGACGCGGGCAGTGGGGTTGTGGGTGCGCAGAATTGGGACTCACTCTTGAAGGGGCCGAAGCGGAACGCACGGTTCCCGGTTCCCTTCAGCTTGTTGGCGGTTGCGGCTTCCAGCTCTGCCCTGCGCGGGCTCTGTCCTGGAATCGAGGTGGGCGAGCTGACGGGACAGAGACGGAGGGGAGCGTGGGTTGGGGAAAGGACAGAGGAGCAGGAGAGCTCGAGATAAAGGGGGCTAACAGCAGGAACCACGTCTGGAATCTGGATCCAGTTCTGCTGAGCTGGGAAATTAGCTTCACTGCTGCCCTGTCTTCCATTCTGTAATGGGCCATTGCTCGGACCAATGCTCCAGACACGTAGACCAGCATGGATGAGGTGGTCTGGAATAGATGTTGAGCCTCATGGAAACACCAACTGTGACTGGATAGATCAACTGGAAAAGACAGTGGGATTTTCCTTTAATTCCATCTTGCCTTGCTTTCCCAATCATTCCTAACCACCCCTGTAAAACATTTAAACCTCCAGGTAAAACCTCTTACGGATTCCAAGCACTAATTTGCAAACTTTTATTTACCTGAGCTAATTTCGAAGACTCTTTCTGTTTTAAGCTACTACCCTACCTATCCCCAGTACAATTAAAGACAATCAGCTTCGCAGACAGATACTGCCCTTTCCCCATAATTGCCAGCTGTTCATGTTTTTTCAGGCCCAAAACCTAACGAACGTGGGTCACCTGGTTATATTAATCTAACCTTTTTATTTCTGTCACTGCGCAGCCCCGGGCCCTCCCAGTGGTACTGGCTTGTTAACGTTATTCTGAGTCTAAACGTCAGAAGCGTTTATGTTTAAACAGAAGAGTTTAAAGGGATTTTTTGTGGGGGTTTTTTGGTATTAAATTCTTTTATTGGTACATTGTAGGTATACAATACAATTACATTTCTCATTGGGAATTGTACCTTTATATAATGCATCTTGGTTCTTATTTTTTCCCCATTCCTAGCCCTCCCTTCACGCTCTCCACCCTTCCCTATTTACAAAGACTTTATTTCCATTTTGTCCATTTCTCATCACGTTTTCCTTTCCCTTCTTTCCTTTCCCCTGTGCCTCCCACTACCCCTACCCCTTTGGACCTTTTCTTCCTATTTTGCATTATCGATTATTCATTCTAATAATTGGTACAGTTTAGGTAGAAGAGTTTAAAGTTAATGGTTTGGTGTTTTGCTTATTCCGGTGCCCATTGCTTGCAGGCCACTTAAGCTATTCAGTCATGCCCATATCTTAAACCCTCTATCCTCAAAACTGTTGCTCCAAACTGTTTCCTTTTAGAAATCCTAAGTACGTTTGTATGGTCCTGAGCATCTCAACTTGTCTTCCTAGCTCTATAATTATGTACAATGAATAATTCATTAATTTAGTTTATGGTTTGAATCTGAAAATTTCCTCCAGTATATTTTGCTGCTGCTTTTCACTTCCTGAACGGAATGCTTAACATCTGTTTTTAATTTAATTGTGTGTAAGACTTTGCCATTGACCAACAACAGAGCCTGAGCTATGCTGTAGATTTTGGTGTACAGTGTTAAGGATTTAGAAAGTTGCCTAATCTGTCATTTCTTTTGTATCGTTTTTATATCTTGGTTTCTGAGACTTGCTATAATTATCTTTCAAGAATGTCATTTAATTAATGACAGTTATATTTCATGAGTTATACTCTTTCTTTCATTAACTTAATGAACTAGGGCTATTAATTAATTATATACTTAATATATTCAGGAATTTCTGAATATATTAAGTATATGTAATATATGTTGTATATAATATGTTGTATTTGCTTGATAAGCTTTAGATCATCTTCTTTCAGCTCCGTGGTTCATTTTGGGATGTCTCTCCTGTTTTTATGTAGTTGAGTTTAAATTTTTACCTGGTACATTTATTGTGATCATAGCTATCCTTGTTTTTATGTCAATCTTTTTTTCTTAGATACTTCCTTTTATTTCTACTTTTTTCTTTTTGCTTTGTTTTTGACATATGCCCTGTGAGCTTTTCTTCTTTTTAATGTTAATTTAAAAAGTATCTGGGCCTAGTTCATTTCTTTGCTGGGACTCTATACCTCTTCTCAACTTTTTTCCACCAGTCATATTTTAAGGGATCCTTTTGTTCATTGATGGTTCTTTTTCTATAGCATTGTGCTTGTTTAATTTTGTACAAGTTAGACTTGTGTTTAAAGAAAAACAAAAATGAAATCCATAGTACTTATTTTTCTTAGGAAATTGAAAAACATTGTACTATTTCATCTTGTAACACTATGCTAATAGATGTTTGTTATCTATTAGTCAAATTTGTTTTGTTTTGTTTTTCAGTCTCTCAGGAAGCTGAATATTGGTTTTGTGTCTGAAGCTCCTAGAACTCTTCTCTTTACTATGATATAACCTGATTCAAAGCATACTGCATATGGTAAATGGGTGCTTAGTCCAAACTTGAGAAGGACTAAAATCCTCTAGTAGGGTGGATTTGAACTACAGTGGGCATTTGGTTTAGGAGGATGGAGCCTCTGAACACATTCATGGCTGTCTCAGAACCTCAAAACCTGGCTCTGCGTGAACAAAGTAAGGTCTTGAAAGCAGATATGTCTTGGCAGCAGGAAATAGCTTGCCAGAAGTTCAGACATTTCCAATATTTGGAAGTGTCTGGGCCCCATGAAGCCCTGCACCAACTCTAGGAGCTCTGTCTTCAGTGGCTGAGACCAGAAGTTCACACAAAGGAGCAAATCTTGGAGCTGTTGGTGTTGGAACAATTCTTGGCAATCCTCCCTGAAGAAGTCAGGACTTGGGTAAATTTACATCATCCCAAGAGAAGCGAAGATGTGGTGACCTTCATAGAGGATGTCATTGAAATGCTCAAAGACAAGGGTAAGACTATAAAAAAGAAATAGAATAGTTGACCCTATGAAGAAAAGTTATCTTTTTCTGAAGCTAGAGAATGTCAAGTGCCAGGTCATGAAGGACTTTCTATTACTGTAGTAGGAAGCCTGGACTTCATTCTGTAGATAATGGAAATAGAATTAAATCTCACAGATTGAGCGGGAAAGTAACACAGTTTTGTTTGCCTATGAAAAATACCATGTTGTTGGGATTTGGCAAAATATGTCCCAAGGGCCAAATAATTTTAAAAATAAATTTTGTTGTAATATAGCCACATCCATTTACTTACATTTGGTCTATGGGTGTGTTCATACTATGACCAGAGTTGAGTAGTTGCAGAAGAGACTGTATTGGCAGCAAACTGTAAAATATTTACTCTTTGGACCTTTACAGGAAAAGTTTACCAACTTATGAAAAGAATGGTGCTGAGGGTTCTGAAAATAGGAAAACCAATTAGGCTGTTGTAATATATTAGATGTTAGAGGTGAGAGACCATTAGTAAAACAGAGGAGTTTAAACCTAAAGGAATTATTAACTGAGTATAAGGTGTAAGTAGAATAAGGTTTGGTGTAAAGTCGTGTTCTTTCTATGAATGGAATGTAAGTAGCAAATTCTGTGTATATGTGGAGGGTATAATACATTAATCATGTAGCATGTTGAATTTGAAATCCCTATGGGACATCTACAGTGAAAAAAGCAGGTAATATGTAATGATTAGATTCTCATTGCTAGTAGGGTCTGACACTATTTTTACAGAGTTCTAATCATTCTAATCATTCATAGGTGATTCCTGTGGATCACATGTTAAAACCACTACTGCAGTCATCAAAAGTGGCTTTAGTGCAGAACTTGTCTCCCTAACATTTTCTCTCATCTTCCTCAGAAATATCCTTCAAAGACTCTGCCTCTCAGAAGGGGAGCACCAAGGAGGAGAACATGGAAGCTGACTCACTAACAGTCAAGCCCCAAGTGAGTTAGGTTCCCACTCTTTGCGGGAATGTATGGGGGGTTTTTTTGGTACCGGGGATCGAACTTGGGACCTTGCACTTGCAAGGCAGGTGGTGGAACCACTGAGCTAAATCCCCGACCCTGTATGTTCTTTTTTTATATGACCCAATTTTACTTGCCTTTGAACTTTTCTCAAACATAGTTCCATCTAAGAGCATGAGTCACTTATTCTTCCAGAGGACATTACACCTATTATCATTGGTAATAGACTTTTTGGAAAATATTTTGTGGTCTCTGTGAATCTGCTCCCTCAAGAATGTAGATGATAATTGAAGCTAGAGAGCCTTACCCTAGGATGTTTGGAATTAAAAGTGAAGGGGGCCCATGAATTCCTGGGCAATGTCATTTACTAAGTAGGAGTAGAAAAGCTTCAAAGGATACTGAAAAGAAAGAAGCAAAGATATAGAAGAAAATATGATGTCACTGAAGCCAAAGTATGAAAATAATTAAAAGAGAAATGTTTCCAAACATCAGGATAATATAACCTAAGTAATGTCTATTCACTAACATGCAGAGGAAGAGAAGCCAGGTCACATTTGGTTGTGGAAAGAGAAAATGAGAAAACAGATAAAACAGACAACTTATTGACAAAGTCTGACTCAGATGGATAAGGAGGGAAGAGTTTTATATATTTCAGTGTGATTGAAAACATAGATAAAGACAAGATTGAAGGTGCTGCAGAGAGAAGTGAATTAATTGATAATGTGAGAGAATTTACTTATTAACAAATATTTAAGCCTAATATGCCAGACACTTTTCTGAAGGCTAAAAATATCAGTAAAAAAAAATCAAAATCCTTGCCTTGTGGGGATTATATTCTAACAGAAGCATATAGGCAAATAGTAATAATTATTACAAATGAAAGAAGCCTTAATATAATATAGTAAAGATTACCCAGTAATCAGACAGCCTTGCCCATCTGATAAGGTAACATTGGACTATGAGATCTGAATGATAAGGAAAGAGCAGGCTGGATTTCTCAATTAGAGAAAATGCCCTGTTTTTCTCATAGGGCCTACCTTTTCACTAAAAATTCCTCTTGAATCTACTTTAAACTCTTCTTGTCCTAATTCCTGTGCTGTAAATTCTGTGTATTCTGTATGAATATTTTATTCCACAATTATTTTAATTGTCTTTTTCCTCTCAAAGTGCAAGTAGATCGAAGTAAGGACTGCACTTCCTTTCATTTTGCAGCCATCACAGCGTATACATAGTGCTATGTTGACTGGCTCTTAATATAATTTCTTCTCCATCATCACTTTGAACCCAAAAACTGTCCTATCAATTTCTTGTATATTCTGGCTTTTATGGTATTTATTCCAAATTCATTCTACCTCTGGTAATATTCTGGGGAATGACCTTTGTTTAAAAGGAATTTAATGTTTTAGGAACCAGTAACCTTCAGAGATGTGGTTGTGGAATTCAGCGAGGAAGAATGGGGGCAACTGGACCCTGCTGAAAAGAACCTGCACTGGGATGTGATGCTGGAGAATTATAGGAACTTGAATTTGTTGCCTAAAGGTGGCATGTATGTATTTATCTACTCTGTCTACTAGTAGTATCGGCTATTGAAAGTTATATGACTGCTGAAGTTATGTTCATTTAGGTCTGTATTCAGGTTTTCTAACAGCAGATCTTCCTGCTCTGTCTAGTTGAAAGTCCTTTGTGATATAGAGCCAGAAATACACAGGTCCATTGGTGCTTTTTGGCCTTGTGCTTCAACAGCTTAGCCTACTGGAATTCTTGTCCCTATAATATAAAATATATGTATGTTTCTTGTTATCATTTTATTTTCTCAATTAACAACTCACCTACTTTCCAAACCAGCTGAGATCCCCAACTTAGAGAGTAAAAATAAAAGATGGTTAATGGAAGGAGAAATCCCAAGAAAGACCATTTTTGGTAAGAACCAGGCAGATATGAAGTATTTGTAAGACGTTACTGTTTGAATTATTTGTTGGGGAAATGACAACAAAACTACCTAAACTTTGAGGGTAAACAAAACGAGGTATTATTGCCTTTTGTTCACAGGCTCTTTTTCATATGTGGTAAAATAATGTCATAGGTTAAGACCACAAACAATTAACTTAAATCTATGTGAACTGGGGCAACTCCTCACCTGTAACTTTAAAGTACCTACTGTGAGAACTAAATGAGTTAATACATGTACCACACTGAGAACATTGTCTAGCACATGGTGCTAAATAAGCAAACATTAGCCAACTTAACACTGAACTTTTATTTTTTAAGAAAACAAATCTGATTTGTGCTAAGGTGGCTTCTAGCAATCTTTCATTTTGCCTTCTTTGATTATACAACCTCTTATGCATTAACTCCCTACCCTCACCATAATCTGTTCTTATTGACACTTTGCAAGAGTATAAAAACTGAGATAACTATAAATTTTATCTAAGTGTAGAAAAATATGAAAAAGAATACAATTCACCCATTACCTCATTCCTCAGAGCTACACAGTACTAACATGTTGGTTTGGGTTTTTTGTTGTTCTTGTTTGTTTTGTTTTTGTTTTCTTGTTTTTGCATGGTAACAGGCCTTTGCATTGAGCTACATCCCCGGGGTTGAGACAGGATCTTGCTAAGTTGCCCAGGCTGGGCTTGAATTTGCAGTCTTCCTGCCTCAGCCTCCCAGAGTGCTCAGATTACAGGCATGTACCACAATGCCCAGCAACTCGAGGTTTTTTTTAAGCCATGTGTGGTATGACATGTCTCTGTGATTTCTAAAGATTTATATTTTTAATAAATTGTGGGAAAATTTATAAAGTTTTTCCCAAAATGCACCAGGAATATGTCATTTTACAGCCTGTTCTTTTCATCTATTGTGGTATCTTGAGCAATTACCTATTTAAATACTCTATAAAAAATGTAGTCTGCCCTATGTAATTTTCAAACTTGTTATCCTATAATTACAACTCATATGTGTCCCCCTGTTGTTTTATCCTTGTCAATTTTACATGTAAGCATCTTTCCATTCAAAAACTAAAATATTCCTTGATTTTATTCTGATTTCATCATTTAAACATGTTACCTTAATCAACCTGGAATTTACTTCAGTAAGTATAATTTATTTTCCTAAATAGTTCATAGATTGTGGTACATTTAAGATGGCCACAAAATCATTGTCACTCATCCATCAAGTTTTCCTTCCCTTTGAGTAAAATCTACCTTGTTTTCCTTCCCTTTGAGACTCAGGAAGCAGTGATATAGTTTAACCACTGAAATAGGCAGAAGTGATACTTTGCCAGTTTCTGGTCTAGCTTATAATGGACAGGCAGCTTCTGTTTCTTTCTCTTGGAAATCAGCAGCCACTTGTTCATATACATTGATATTCCATGGTGTGAGCCCTCCTTAGCCACTGGAATATATGCATTTTGCAAGTTCACTGACTTATTCAGATCTATAGCTATCCTCATTAAGCAGTTTCCTGTTGTTTAGTTTATCTAAATATATATATTTTAGACATGGAGACTATTTCAGAAAACCAAGACTCAATTCTAAAGCAGAAGGTTTCTGTAGAAGAATCGTCTCATGGAGAAATTATGACAGTGCCTGCCAAAAATGCACAGCCTCCCTTACACAAATGGAGAGATGAGAATCAGTTTCATGGGAAACAGGAAAAGCAGGACATAAATTTGCCACAAGAGGCTTTCATTTATATGACAGTCTCCAGTGAGGAAGGAGATTCTGAATATAATGACAATAAGGAAAGCTTTGTATCAGTTAACTCTATTTGGGATATACAATAGGAGACTCCAACAGGAACAAGGTCCCCAAATGGACTTAAGTTTAAAACTAACTTCAAGTTTAATTCAGACTCTGTGGATGAGCCACATTCAGAATATAGTGAATATGGAAATGCTTTGAGCATTAATACACATATTATTCAGCCCAACAAAAAGCATATTACGGTGAATTCCTATGAATGTTATCAATGTGGGAAAACCTTTAGCCAAAGTTCATCCCTCATTCGACATCAGATAATTCACACTGGAGAGAAGTCCTATAGATGCAGTGAATGTGGGAGATTCTTTAACCGACACACAAATCTTACAAAACATCAGAAAATTCACACTGAGACAAAGGCCTCTGAAGGTAGTGAGTGTGGAATGGCCTTCTGTAAGAGTGAACGCAGTAATAAAAATCCAAGACTCCAATCTGGAGATAATCCCTATGAATGTGTTGACTGTGGAAAATCCTTCAACCACAGTTCCTCCCTTCTATGACATCAAATGATTCATACAGGACAGAGACCTTTCAAATGTAAAGAGTGTAAGAAAACTTTTAACTGACATTCAAATCTTCTTAAACATCAAAAACTTCATACTCAAGGTAAATATGAAAAGGAAGAAATACTGGAGTACCTTCAGTAGGTGCAGAACTCATTCAGCATCATGGGTATTAGAATCCTGTGAATATAATAAATTTAAGAAAGAATTTGTTAAAGATTATTCCTTCAGTGATATGACAGAATACTGGAGAGAAATCTGTTTGAGAGAGCTTTTCTAGATTCCCAAAGGAAGCTACCAGGGCTTGTACTTAAACATAATATCACCACACAAGTCTTTTCTGTCATTTTGTCATATTACCCTCACCTTCTCTGGTTCATAAATAGGATTGATTCTTGCATTCACTTGATTTATTGATAAAGCAACGAAGAAATATGCTTGGAGTTGATATTTAATAAACTGTTGGTCCATATGAGAAGATCATAATAAAACTGAAGCTTATGACAAGTATAATACAGGAGAACACTTTCACGGACTGAAACCTCTGAATTAATGGCAAAGACTGCAGTGACTACCAATTATTCCCATTTATTCCACCCCTAACAATATCTCTAGCTGTCAGTACCCTTTGGGACTAGAGCTGGGGGACTTATCAACTGCAATGGGAGATTGAGTTGTTGTTCATTTGTATGTATTGTTTAAATCTGCGTTTTTAGAAAGTACTACTTGAGATCTAGGTTGGACAGACATCTATAGCCTGAAGTGAAGTCTGTCATTTATGCCAGATTTTATGAGTTCAATAAAGTATCTTAATACTCTGTGTACCCAAACTGTGTCTACTATAAGCTATTTCAGATCCCAAATGGTTCTTTGAGCCAAGTGATATGTCTTAATCTCCCCCCCCCCAGTTCATACTGGAGAAATTCTCAATGAATGATGATGGTGGCTTCTCATCAGAGTTCATACCTTATTCAAAAGCAGGAAAGGTATACTAGAGGGGACCTCTAAGATAAGTTGATAAATGTCAAATATTCTGTTTCTTCATTTATCCTTTATATTAGAACACAAATTATATTACAAAACCCAATGCAAGAAGTTGGTATAGAAATTCATATATAAACATAAGGCAACTTTTTGAAGGAGCCCAAGAGGAAAACACTGAATGTTCAATACAAAAACATCCAATCACTTATTGACATATTAATTATAATGGATGCTGACTTTTTAAAATGTATTTTGAGTCTAATATTTCATTTTTTTATAAACTAATTTTCTTTTTTCTTTTAGGTGGTCAAAAGATAAAGTACTATTGTTTTTGCTTAATTATCTTGTCTTTCAACAGTCAGGTATTTGGGCCTAAGTTTTTAAAAAATTCCTAAATGTTAAACTTTCTTTTAAAATTATGCCCACTATTTTCAGTATAAAGTAGCTTCAAGTACCTTTTGGAGCACATTTATTTCATTTCTTGCAGGATATTCACAGGCAATTTACATCTTCTCCAGCCTCTTTTTATATGCCTACTTCTTATTTCCTAAGTATTTGAATTTTATTATCTGCCATCAGAGGCAGAAAAATAAGATGATACATGAAGAAAGAGTGAAAATTAGCTAGATTATGGGAGGCAAGTTAGAGAGGAGAGATGATAAATGAAAAACTAGGAACACAAAGCTACAGAGGAATGGCATTACATGTTCAGGAAGTATAAGTTCATTGGCTGGAAGATGGCATTGAGTAAGAGGAAATGTTCACTTCACGTACATGTAGTGCTAAGGAAAGACTCAAAGGCCTTTTCATGAGAGATCTTACAAGCCACCCTATGAGTCTGGAATAAACAAGGTTCTTGTTAATGCCTCAGTTATTCAGTACTCTAGAAGTAATGAGTGAAATGAGAAAAGGAAAACAAATGATAATTAGAAAAAAAATCATTTGATACTGACACAGTTGACCATTGGAACAATCAAATAAATTGAGATATGTGTACCCACTTTCTTCAAAAACCATTCTGAATAAATGGAAAAACATGTCTGGCTGGGAAGACTATTGTAAAGCTGTTTAATATCCCCATATTATTCTGTTTTTCTAATCAAATATTTGAGAATTTATTTCACAAAATGGTTATAAAGTTTATTTTGTAGAAGTAATAAGTTAAAGTAGCTGTGATTGTTTTTTAAAGGGTAATAACAGGAGTCTTACTAGTAATACAGTGTGCAACTGGCTTAGGAATAGACAGCTTTTGCACAAAATTGATTGTAGCTAGACCTAAAGTGCTTGTAAGAATTCTATGTATCATAAATTATTCCAGATCACTGTGGAAAAAGACAATCAACTCAGTATTTACATATACACTATAGGCAGATGCATTAAATATGTGAATATACAGAGTCTGCCAAAAAATGTATACATCAGGAAAAGAAAAACTTGTATAACTATTTTAATACTAAATTTACTGAGGCATCATAAGATTAATACAAGTCTTTACAATTACGAGAGGTGCTCAAAGTGGTGTCCATTAGCTTCCAGACATTTATTAGTATGGCAAACTGCTGAAGTGTATATACATTTTAGGCAGACTCTTTGTAATATAAATATTTATTAATGTATTAAAACCAAAAAATGTTAAACATGCTATGGAAAACTGGTAAAAACATTAAATAATCATGAGGAAAATGCTCTATTTTAACTAATAAAAACAAATTCACATTCTGGGCAGATAGAAACAAACCATAGAGCAGAAATAAAAATACTTAATGTAGGCCGGGGATTTATCTCAGTGGTGCTGCTACCTGCCTCACAAGCACAAGGTCCTGAGTTCAATCACTGGTACCAAAAAAAAAAAAAACCTTTAAACTTAATGTAGTGAGACTGTCAAGAAATGTAACTAATACACAACTACCAAGAATATAAATTACCTTCCAAGGGGGCAAATTTAACATGTATTGAGAGCCTTTAAAAAATTAAAACAGGGGAGAGAATAAGGATTCAAAAACAGTATGAATTCATACTTTTCCAGAGGATAGAATACAATGCACAGACTACTGAAGGAAAGAGCAATGAGAATTTAAGAAGAGACCAGGTATCCAATCTATAAAGGGAAGAGCACCTATCAAATTCAGTCTGACCAAGCAACAGGTATGGGCAAGGAAACACCAGGCTAAATGAGGGATCCAAGATGTCTGAATAGAGACGCTAGCACACAACTCTGCCACAGAATAAAAAGGCAGTGAAAAAATTATTTTGAGAAAAGTGAGTGGGGAATTCCAGAAATTAACAAAGAAGTGACAGGAAACCTACAACAGAGAGTTTGAAAGATAATCTAGAGAAAGTAACAAAACAATTTATAGTATCAATTCTGGGTCCCCAGCTGAAAGCAGGAAACACAAACAGCATAAAGTAAGCAGGAAAGTACCAGAAAACCCAATCATAGCAGCAGACTGGCAGTCCTACCTGTACAAGAAGTCTATAGTACTTAAAAGCTTTAAATCCAGTTTGAGGAGCTGGCTTGTCTAAAAAATGACTCCTCTGTTCCAAAAGAAGGAACTCACTTTGGATTTACCCAACCTCCCAGAATTTACAGTACTTAAACAGAGCCAATGCCCAATCCCATCTTTAAGTGCCAGCAGCCAAATCCTTGCATTACATATAATTCCTTCAAATTCAGATTTATTCCTGGAGAATATTTTTTCCATTAGAAGTGCATGTTTCATTTATCTTTTGTTCTTACATTGATGTCTGTGTATATGGTGTAATATATTTCTTCCAATTTTTTGATGTAGTTTTTGTAGGAAAAGATTTTTCCGTTTAGGTGGATATATGATGTCAGTTGAATAGGCGCCTTGGGTTTGGTTATATGGGAGTTCAAAAGTTTAGTCTCTGTGTAGTTTCATCTCTGATTGATCTTATCACTATGTGTCTCAACAGTTTATAATGTTGTGTGTCTCAACAGTATGTCTCAACAGTGTATACTGCAGGAGTTCATGAAGGTGGTTCTATGACTTTGCAGTGGATATAGGATTCCAAAACTGTGTGACTTCAGGCTTCACAGAATTGAGTCCTGATGGCATTGTGTGCTAGCCACTGCTACAGTCTCAGTGGTGCAGAATTTGGACAGAATTGTTCCCAGATTCCTCAGGGCAAGCACAGGTGATATCAAGGTTGTGTAATGCATGAAAAAGAATTTAAGGTAATAATCCTAAGACAGCTCACTGAGATGCAAGATAATACAGGTAAACAATATGAAGAAATGAGAACAATCCTGTGAATGAGAATCTCACCAAATTGATAGTAATCATTTAAAAAGAACACAATATGCATGTGAGGTCCTGTGAAGCTGTGAAGGAGCCATCTGTAACAGCTAAGCAGACCTATCCTGTGAACCAGCTGCAAGCACCATGCAATCATTTCATGAAAAAATCAGTAAAAGTCACATAATAATGTTAAAGTTTATGATCTTGGGCTGAATTATTAGCTGTCCAGTGCTTTGTGTGGCCCATGGGCCATGGGTTGGTCATGTCTGCTATGGACTAAATGGATCTAATAGACATTTATACAGAATGTTTCACACAACAGGTACAGAACACATAGAAGATTCTCTAGGATCAATATGTTAGGCTACAAAACAAGTATCAATAAATTTTAAAAAATCAAAATCAAGCATGAATCTTCTCATGAATACAATGGACTAAAACTAGAAATCAACTATTAGTGGAACCTTAGAAACTGTACACATGTATGACAGGCAGTTAACACTCTCTTAACCAATGGGTCAATTAAGACATTAAGCAGAAAAATTTTAAATTTAAAAAGTTCTTTGTTTTTTGAGACAGGCTTTTTCTATGTAGTTCAGGCTGGCTTTGAACTCACTATGTCACTATGTAGCCCAGGCTGGCCTCAAACTCATGGATGATCCTCCTGCCTCAGCCTCCAGGGTGCTGGAATTACACTCAGCATGAGCCAACATACTCAGTTTTAAATAAAAATTCTTGAAACAAATGAAAAACAGTACTAAGAGGGAAATACATTTTCTTTATCCATTTATCTGCATAGCAACACGTGGCTCTTTTAAAAAAAATAGAAGAATTTCAAATAAACAACCCAACATGTCAACTCAAGAAACTAGAAAAGCAAGAACAAACAAAAACCAAAATTAGTAGAGGAAATAACAAAGATCAGAAATAAACAAAATAGAGACTTAGAATTAGAAACAGTTGACTTTGAAAAGCAAAATTGAGTGAGGCTAACCAAGAAGACAAGAGAAGACCCAAAGAAATAGTATCAAAGATGAAAAAGGAAACATTACATCTATAGAAACATAAAAGATAATTAAGAACTAATCATAACTAAACAATAAATTACCAAAAATAAATAACTGAACAATAAATTAGAAAACCAGAAGAAATTGATTCATTCTAGAGACATAACCAAAACCACAAGGACATAAAAAAATTGGACAATCCAATAACAAGTAGCAAGATTGAATCAATAATTAAAAAAATAAGTTTCCTAACAAAGAAAAACCTAGGACTACATGGCTTCACCACTGAATTTTACCAGAACTTTAAAGAAGAGCTAATGACAGTTCTTCTCAAACTATTCCAAGGATTTGAAGGGAGGGAACACTTTCAAACTCATTCTGTTAGCACATTACCTTAATGGCATCAAATCAGATAAAGACAACCAAAAGAAAAAAGAAAAGTACAGATCAATATTACTAATAACCACAGATACAAAAATTCTCAAAAAACATAACCAAATAGAGTTTAGAGCTCTTCTTATAATTTAAATTTTGATAGTAACTTTTTCCTTGAG